GAGATGGGAGCTGAGATACAGTTAGCTGTGTACAGGATAAGTTATCTGACCATCTGGAAATACGACTAAAGAAACTTGAAAGCATTAACAAAATATGTTCCAATCTGGATGCACAGGGCAGTTGCAGAGTATGCAGTCACTGAGCAGGGAGATGATAAATGTCACCATAAGGTTTATCTACATTGTTTTGCAAACAGAATGTCCTAAAGCTTTGGAGTAAGTAAAAAATGGGAGGTCAGGGCTAGTTTAATTGTGACACTTACAGGCCCTACTTTTCTACATGGCTTTAAGGGAAGCAGATTCAGTTTCAAAGACAAATATCCTCATAAGGTTCAGAAAAGAAACTCTTATTTTATATAATGTGCTAGCCTCACTGGAAATAAATGTGTTCTCCTTTTTCAGGATCTTCCTGTTAGTAACAGTTGCACATAAATAAAGTTTTCTAAACAAACATCTTATCTTTTTTATGGAAGGAAGTCCATTAATAAAGAATTGACGTTCTTCCTTGAAAAAAAAAAATTTTTTTTTAAATGCTAATTCGTTCCCATAAACTAAAGAAATAAACTTACACCCTGAGATTTACTCTATTTTCACAGCAAACTGAATAATCTGCATGGAGATAAGTTAGAACTGTTTGGGTTTCTGTATAAACAATGCTCCTGTTGCTACTTTACCATATAATACCAAAACAATCAATCTCTTTCCTCAGTTTTCCACTGCTACATAAAATTGTAGGTTCATTTCAACTGTATTCCTTAGGCTTACACTTCAGTTTCAGGACAATCTATGAACAGTTTTCAAAATAAGGATCTCCAGAAGCACTGTATCCATGTTTACTAACTTGACCTGCACAATTGTGGTCTGATAAATATACTTTCATCATCCAAAGCAGGACAAAGAAATGCTCAGATGAATTTAAACAATTGTTCTGATAATCCCCAATGTTCTTTACTGACTAGGTAAACTATACGAAACACTTCTAAATGGCCCAAATCAAGACAATTATGGAAGCCATCCTGTGAAATCACTCATCTGCTTTCCAAAATGTTTTCTTTAAAATAAATTAAAAACAACGGTGACATTGTATACTGCTTGTGAAAAATAACAGGAATATTTTCCCCCCAAAATCCAGAAAATCAGGACCTTTATAGACATGGAACAACATGTCTTGTGATTCCCAACTGAGCTTGTGAAACCTGGCATGTTTGAAAACAGTTGAAGTTCTCAGTGTTTCAGTTCTTCACAAAAAAAATGTGAAAGCCACCTCAAATGAAGATAAACTCAGCAAAAAAGTAAGACAATATAGGATTTACCCGGTGTAAACTTGTTAGGAGCTACCATTACATTTTTGCTCAGAAATAGCGACGATCTTAAAAGCAATTACTTACAATTCTAGGGGCCAGAATTAACAGCATAAAATATTATAAAGTAGCAAAAAAGAATGAAAAAAAATACACATCACAACATAAGTTGCAGAAAGCAGGGTAGAGGTGCACTTTAAAGACTAACCAAATCAGAGATGTAGAAGCTTTTGTGAGCAAGAGCTCACTTATCTTTTTTAAAGCAATACACTTAGAAAGGGAAGGTAGGGGAAACCACCCATACAAAACTAAATAATATTGTAATGTTGTGTCAAGGGAAACTTATTTTCGACAAGAAATTCTAGAGATTTATGGTCAAACGTATTATTCTGAGACTGTCTCACTGATACATGCATTGAGATGGAGAAAGAGAATAGGAGAGAAAAAACCCAAATATCATCCTGAGTGTATTTACTCTGCTCACACAACCTTCTGTCACATGGGGCATTTAGAGTACTTTACTTTTGTTGTCTGGCCACCTGACCAGGAACTAGTTACTTAAGTGGAAAGCAGACAAATGGTAAGTCATTATCAAGGCACATAAGAAAACTATTCAGTCACTGGGTCACGTCCAACAATAACTGCTTGCTAACTCCCTGTAATCATTAAAACTAAAGGACTAACAATCCCATCAGGATACTAATTCAACTGTCAGTCATTCTGTTATATTGCAGGTTTTATTCCTTCCTTGCATATGTGTCTGTTCAGGGATGTCTTGTGCCTTTGCACAAATAGGGCCAAATAGCTGCACTGCCACAAACTGGAAACCAGATTACACTCTACATAATCTGCCATTATTTGGCCCTACTCATTTCAGGGGTAGAAACTGCCATGGTATCTCATGAATGGTGTGTTCCCTCGGTGGCTCGCAGGGCATGGCAGCAGTGAGAGTGCGGTGGCAGTAAGCAGTGGAGCTCCCACAGACGCCGCTGGCGCTGTCAGTGGTGGGGCCGGTGGTTTAGCGGCGAGAGCTGACCAAGAGTTGGCAACCACCTGCAGACACTGCTGGCAGTAGCCAGCAGGCATCAGACCGCCCACAAATGCTACCGGTA